GGTTTCAAGTCCCCATTCTCTATAAATACCCACTTGGTTGGGATTTTGAGAATACAACCTTGAGTGGAATTAAAAAGGCAACTCTAAGAAAGAGTAAACCTTTGATTCGTAAAACACATAGTTATTTTGTCCGGGTCTTGACTAACCTTCAAGACTTAGGACGCTCGGGTCGAGTCGAGGGTATGATCCGTCGGAGATCTCGTCTTTTTGGGATTTTGAAGTAAGAGCTCTTTGGGAGAGAAGCACGCGTCAAAGGTATAATTCTTCTTCTTAATCTTGTTTGATTAAGTTTAATATGCTTGTTAATTTTTTTAATTAAGTGGCGGGTCTTGGTGGGTTTCCTTCCGCGTAGTGCCGGGTCACTACGAAACCCTACACTGCTTTAGCTAGAGCTTTCACCCTCATAGTATGAAAATTTTGACTTCTTGTTAAGGCATTTAGAGAAATACAAGGATCCTGAGTGATATCCTCATCCAGCTCTTCTAACTGGATCACAGCAACATCTATCTCATCCAGCCCTGGAATCTTAACCGTAAACAGTTGTGGTTCCTTAAACTGGCATTTATGATTCCTATTATAAGGAGCATCACAATAGTAGTACAGACCCTTAGCAATTTTACTAGCTCTCACATCAGCAGGTACATATTTTGTTTTTGAGTAGGGTGTTTTCTAAAAGGGTTTAGTGTTTGGTGCAGGAAGGGTGAGAGGTTTAATTGGTGGTGTGGGAAGTAGGGGTGGTTTCGAAGAATAAAACTATGTTTGGATAGACATAAATGGAGGGAAAGGAAGAGAAGAGAAATGGAGGGATGCATCCTCTCTTGTTTGGATATCTAATGCAAGGAGGGAAGGGGAGGGAATTAGAAGGATCCATTTTCCTTCCACTTTTAATAAATCAAATCCCTCCATTGTTGGAGAGATTTGGAAGGAAAATGGAAGGTCTCCTTCTCCCTCCCCTCACCTCCCTTTACCTTCCCTCTTTTTCCTTCTCCTCCCTTTCCTTTCATTATTGTTATCCAAACATAGTGCAAGTTGTCAAAGGGTTCTGGTAAAGTTTAGCTGTAAATGGTTTCACAGATTTTGGAGAGTTTCAGCAATTGACTCATCCTGCAATCTAGCATATTCTAATGCAGCCATTACAGTTTGAGGTTTAAAGGCTCTAACAAATGGTTTGTTTCACGCTTAAGACCCCCAACAAAACTTTCCAGCAAATACTTCTCAAGCAAGGCATAGCTATTTTGCAACATAATAGCTTTCAAATTCTCAAACTCATCTATATAAGACTCAATATTACCAATTTGCTGCAATTTATTAAATTCCTCCAACACATTTACACCTACTTCATCCTTAAATCTTCCATTTATATCAATAACAAAATCGTTCCAATCTACTGTAGATCTAGTAGAGAAATAGCCAGATACCCAATTTTCAGCTTTAGCAATCATGTTAAGTGATGCTAAGTCTACTCATTTGGACTCTTACAAAGAGTAAAATACTTGCAACATTTCTTAATCCACAACCTAGGGTTACTACCATCACATTTAAGAAACTCAAGTTTAGTTATATACCCCAATTTAGGTTGATTGAATCGATCCTTAGGTGTCCTAGCTTCTGCCATATTGTCCTTAAGTGATTGCATCATTTGCATTAGGGCCTCGAACTTCTGAGTTGAAGCTAGATTTTGAGCGTCAAGCCTATTTTCCAATGCCTGCAGATGAGCTTCCATTTTCGTCACCCGACTGGTAACTGTTGGTGCCAGAATGTTCAAACACAGAGAGAGCAACGGTGGCTTTGATACCACTAATAAGGGAGGTTTAGGTAGCTGAATGAGCTATTGAAATAATCAAGTAAAACTCAGGAGCAGAATAGAGAAATGGAGGAAATATAGAAGAAGAGAGGAAGAAGAAAGAGATTTGGAGAGAGAGAGAGAGAATTAAGATTTGTAATTATCATTATGCCTTGATTATTATAACCACTAATCTTTTATACCAGCTCGGCTGTAACAAACTCAAACAATAAAACAACTTTGTAACAAACTAGGAAAACGAAAAAAAGGAAATGGCTAACAAAATTTCCCTCCAACACAATCATTTGCAACAATCATTCAATTACTCCCTTATCAGCACATGGTGGTGTGTCCGCGGTGAGAAGCTTCAAAGTTAATTCCGATAACTTGATACATGCACCTCTTTTGGCATGGTCGTAGTGTTGTTCTTGTCTGCGTATACTGCCTCAAAGGTTTAGTGAAACGCGATGAGCTTGGCAGTGTAGTGCGCCTATATACCAGTGGTAAAAAACTTGGGTTTAGTAAAAAGTTTTATTTTTTTGTTGTCAAAAGGTTGTTGTGATCCAAATATTATCCCAGCCGGTCTTTGAACTAGCCTTCTATCACACGAGAAGCTATCTAAAAAGTTATTAAAAAATGAAGAGAACACGATTGTATTCAATCTTCGAGAATGCCTAAATTCAGTTCAAGAGAGTGACAAGTTGCATAAAAGCAAGTCATCATGTTGTTCTTGAGGGTAATTCTAAATCCAAAATGGATTTTGCCTTCTCTCCGAGTGGTATACAAGTGAATCATGCACGCCATCATATTGTTTGTAGAATGGATTTCCAATTAGTTTGGAGAAAGGTCATGTTCTTCCTACTACTAAACAAGAAAATGAAAACATTCATCATTTGGAGCCCAAATATTGAGTTAATAACCTAAGAAGGCGAGGTTCCTCTATTATGGTCTCGGCAAATTCTTAGATGCACCGTAGTGCATCTAAGCTAGCTGCACCACAATTACTATTTATATACAAAAACACACATATCCCGTACCATATACTACTTTTTCTCCTTGACTCCTTCCTTGTTCAATCTTCTTCCTCCTTATTTCTCATGTATATGTTTCATTCCCTCTTTTTCTAATTTTTTCCTTGATTCCTAATTTTGTTTGAAGATTTATCTCTCCTCTGTTTTTGACATTGTCATCTTCTTTAAACTTTATCTCTCTCCTCTATTTTCTATAATTTCGTTGATTTCGTGATGAATTTAATTGGTATTCTTGAAGAGAGTGTTAATTCAAGTTAGTTTATGTTATTGATTTATAATTTAGTTTAATTAGGTTATATTTTCTAGATTTTTTTATTGATATTTCATATATAATTTTGTGTATTTTGTAAATTTGGAGTATGTAATAAATATCAATTAATTGTAGTAATTTTCTCTCCTCTCTCTCTCTCTCTCTCTTTCTCTCCCTCTCTCCCTCCCTCTCTCTCTCTCTCTTTTTTTTTTTTTTTTTTTTGTATTCTTTTGATTCCTAATCTATCATGTTAAAAATTGATAATTATTTTCTCTATGATGAACCAATATTAGATTTAAGTGGATTTTCAAATTTTTAGTGTTAAAGCAATTACAATCGAATTTGTGTATAGTTTCGATAAAAAAAAAATGAATACATAGTACTTTAAAAATGAACATTTTGTACACTAAAAATGAACATTCAGTACATAAAAAATGAACATATTTAAACAATTTATTTTATATTTATTTTTCATTAATAATTTTGTACAATGAATTTAAACTTATATAAATATGTGAAAATCATGTTCATTTTTAAAATACTAAATATTCATTATTTTTTTGACGTGTTCATTTTTGTACGTGTTCATTTTATTTAATGAGCTCATATATTTTTATGAAATGTTCATTTTATTAGGTAAGGTCCAGCAAGTCTATGATTGTATGATAAATGTTCATATTTAATAAACTAAGTGTTCATATTTCTTTTTTACGTGTTCACTTTTTATTACTAAATGTTAATTTTTTATTACTAAATGTTCATTCTTTTTTTTATACGTGTTCATAGTTTTTTTTTTTTTTTTACTAAATGTTCATGTTAAGGCTGTGGTTCAGTAATAATATGATTGTATGATAATCATATTCATTTTTAATATACTAATTAATAAGATTTTTTAAAACATATTCACTCATTAGTACTAAATATTCATTTTTTTATTATTGAATGGTCATTTTTTTTTTACGTGTTAATAACTTTTAACTAAACGTTCATTTATAGGGCGTGGTGCAGCTATCGTAGCTGCACCAGGTTCTAGCTAAGACCTATTGTATGGTCTCAAAGAAAGATTATCTTTTAATGGAGCAAGCAAAGGCCTACAAGGCTACAAGTTTTCCAACTCAAAGTTGGAGCCTTCTTCCAAGTCGCAGTTATTACATCATCGAAAGAAGTTAAAATTCAACTATCAAAGATGAGAAGGAAAGTGAGGAAGAAGATGCAAAGGTTAAAGAAGTGGTCAAGACTCAAGATGAAGTCGAGATTTAAGAAGCAACCACCTCAGCTAGGATGTCGTACCTACATCTGCTAAATACCGATGAGAAACGGGCTAAAGGGAAGAACTACATTTTCAAGTCCCATTATAAAGCAAGAAATCTCAAGAGAAGTAATCAACACATCTCAAAGGTGATCATTCCTCCCTACTTAACATGATTGTGTACGTGCAGGAACCACACTTGTGTTAAAAAGCAAGTGTGGCACCCCCCCCCCCCCCTCACGAATCTCTCCATCTAATTGATGGAAGAAGTCTTCTTAAGAGTCTTTGGTTGTTTTAGAGTTAGTAATAGTTGCTTATTTCAAGTAATATGAGTATAGGAAGAAAGACTAGTCACTTTTTTTTAACAGTATTTGTACTGCATTATAAAAAATTAAAAAAACCGAAAAAGAGAAAGAATATTTTGATTTCTTTAAGTATGCTATTAAAATGAGAAGAATTAATGTGCAAAAATATTTCACTTAGTACGCTTATATTTCAACTAACTATACAAGCACCCGAAAAGTTTAGATAGTCGTTACAATTACAATTCCAAATTTGTACCGGTAGGTATTGACTATCGAGTACTCATAGGCTCTACAAAAAGTTTCCTAGAGATCAAAACTCCTTGGGCAAACCATCGCAATTGCCAAAACTACAGCTGATTTTTAACACAGGCTTTGTCGATCATTCCAAAGCACACACTCAGTTATGTGATTAACTCAAGATTAATCTCATGACAATATAACACTTCATAACAATTACAATCCCAGAGAATTACAGCTCCCCAGATTTGTATTGGTAGCTATTGAGTACTCACATGGCAGAGCTACAAAAATTTTCCTAGAGGTCTCAACTCCTTGGGCAAGCCATCAAAATTCCCAACACTTACATCCGACTGATAAAACAGGCTCTTTCGGTCTTTCCAAAGCACACTCTCAGCTATGTGCTCCTTACTTGGAGTCAGCATGACAAAGTTTGGGTCAGCCCTTTCATAGCTGAAAAAACAAAAGGTTCAGTCAGTAATTGCATAGTAATTCCTTTACTGATAAGCTAAGAATTGAGATAGCTTCTGCTGCAGCAGCAAACAGTAGACAAGAACATGTCACTTTCTGTGCAGATGACAAGGACCTAATGTATACCTTGCTTCTCTAAGATTTTCCACTCGGATGCCAAACCCAAAAGACGTATTTCCAACTGTATGATACCTGATTGCTGCAGAACCACCAAGGTCATGTTAAGCATCAGTCAGTTAAACTGAATAATTGGTGACAATTTGCATTGTCTAGAATATATCAAATGGAACATAAGTTAAGGAGGAGAATTATTTATTAATTGAAATACGTAATGAAAAAGAATATTTGGTGACATGAACAACTATCCTCTTCACTGAATATGGAATCATTTTAACAAAGTCAAAGACTTTCTCCTTTTCTTTTGGCTAAGACAATATGTAAGCTATACACATTCATGATTCTAAATATGGGATATGTCAGATATTGTCATTCATTACCTAGACAGAATACATACAAAATGCTTTATGCCATTATAAGTTTATCAAATTACAGACCCTAGACAGTGTTTCTTTTGTTCAGTTGACACTTATATTAAAATGTATCATACCTAAAGTGTATCATCAACAAAATTCATAACTAAACTAAAATTAAATCCAAATGACCCTGATCCGAACAGCCTACATACAAAAATTCATAACTAAACCAAACTAGGTAAAGTCTAGAATTGACTTGGTGCACAATAATTTATTGTGCACCCAACCATCTAGTATGTCATACGAAATGTGATTATATCATTACAAAAGTTATTATATCATCCAGAAACTGATTATGTAAATGTATCGTCCAAAAAGTGAATTTATCATTAAAAAATGTATGAAACAGTAATTAAATCATTCGAAAAATAATTACTTCCTCCGTTAAATATTAATTGCAACAAAGGGGTATTATTTGTGAGATATATAATATTCCTTTGTTGCAATTAATATTTAATGGAGGAAGTATATCATCCAAAAGATAATTATATCATCTCACTAAATTGTTTTAAATACAATTATATCATTCAAAATATGACTCACAATAAGATAATTATATCATGTAAAAAAGTGATTATATCATCCAGACTGTGAATATATTATTTGAGAGTATTAAATTTTGGGTCTATAATAATTTATTGTTGACCGGGTCCATACAAGGCCTGCTGACTAAACTAAATTAAGTTCCTGATCAAATTTTTTCTATATCACCAATGAACTTCCAGCTACTTACAGACAAAAATGTATGATACCTGCCACAGATATAACAATGATACTGAGTTGTTTAACTAACTAATCGACTTACAACCCTTGTCAAAGTTTATAATTCTTTCAACACAGCATCACAAGAATTTTTTCTGTTTTTATCAAAACACAAACAAGGTTCACTTAGACATTTTACAAAGACTAAGATAACTTGTTTGACTTTATATAAAATAAAAAAAAAAAATTAATGTAGATAATCAACTAACCTTTTATGGGTCAATTAAGTTATAATACTTCCTCTGCTTTTTTATATTTGCAACAAACCTTTTTGGCACGATATTTAAGGAAGTGATTTGAAAAGATAAACAGACGAATTAAGCTATAAAATTTAAACCATAACAATTTAATACTTTTTTTCTTACTGGTGATAAAATTAAACCAATTAATTTATCTGTTTACACGTGAGCTTAGTATAAATAATTAGATCTCATCTTTGTAGCAATCTGGCATGAATATGAATGAGCCTAACTAACAAAAAATTCATGCTGAAGATCCATCAATAAGTACTGAGACTTGTGACAATATACACACATTATGAACCAGCATATAAAATGCCACCAGATTATGCCAAATATCACTGTAAAGCCCTCCACCCAAAGCTCCTTTCTTCCCTGGATTCTTTATTTTCAAAGTATCATAAATCTGACTTTCATGTATTAATTATCCAACAAAGAGGGAAATAAGATGTAATAGAAGGTGGTTTTGTATAAAGTACCTGAAAAGCTAATAGTGAAAGCAGGCTTCCACCATGACTTGAATGCCAATGACAAAGTAGAACTTAGAGGTCCCACCTTCCCCTGCATTGTCAACTCATTATACTAACATCAATACACATATATACAGTCATGTACCTTTAACGACAACTAATACATATTCTCATCACTAAAAGTGATTTGATCATGTACCTTAAACAAGAAATTTTTGTTTGCCTGCCAAGATGCTGCTACTTGAAATGTAGAATTCTGAGATTTATCTGATGTATTGTTATCCTCCAAGCTGCAATGGAAACAACAACAGCAACAGCAACAACAAGAACGATTAATGAGCTTGGGTACACTAAGAAAAACCTCTTAAACTAGTGACCAACTTAGATTACCTTGTCTTGAGCTCAAAACCAAAATCTAAGTAGTTTGTAATTCCAATTATTTCATTTTCTTCAAATGGATTCTGTACCTGCTCAATGGAAATAGTGTATAACTTAGTGACTAGAACAAACAAGGTCTTAGAATTAAATCTTGCAGAAGGAAACTATAAATATGGACAAGGTGGATAAAACATACCTTTCTTTGGACAACAAAATGTTGGTAGAATGAGGAAACAAACTGCAATAGATAAACGAATTCATGTTAAAGTTTTAGGATTAGAATACATCAATGTAATTTACAACAACGCTTTGTTGACAATGTCATCAAGAAACACAGATTCTCAATATTGGTTGCCAAACCTACGATCTTGTAGCTTCAATGCCAATGATTCATCTCCAATAAGAGAATTCATACGGTCATAATTTCACAAAAATAGAAATTCTTGACAAATTTAGTTTTGTTTTACCTGGTAGTAGACTATGGGCGTGTTTGGTTAAGAGATTTTTGGAGTAAAAAGTTATTTGACCATTTTACAAAGCTCTTTGGGTGTTTGGTATAGAGCTGTTTGAAAGAGTTTTTTGGATCCAAAAAGCTCTTTTTCCAAAAGCTCATATGAGGTTTTTGGAGTAGAGTGAGGCATAAAGTGCATGGTAGAGTGAGAAAATTTCTAGACTTTATAGCTTGGGATGTGAATTTTTAATGACCAAACATAGGAAGTAGATTGCAAGTAGGTGGTCCATGAAGGGTGTTCTGTAGCATGTAAAATTTGAATTACCAAAAAAATTTGCATTTTCAATTGACATTTCACTCTGAAAATATTCCATACAAATATCTATTTCGATCCCCCTTTTGAGGTGCATTTTTCTTCATACATATGAAGGCACAACAGAATATATCTTCGTGTTTGGAAATCAGCTTTTAGTTATTTTGACTAGATGTTAGTTAGCCCAATAGCTGTTTGCATTAGCTAATTTAGCTGTTTGTGTAAAAGTGTTTGGTAAATAGTTGTTAGCTATTAGTTGTTTCAGTGTATAAACAACCAAAAAGCTAAAAGCTCTTTCTCCGTACAATGGGAGAGGATTGTCAAAGTTATTGTGGGATTTACATAAGCTTCATGGATTGCCCATTCATGGGAAAAGTTGTGATAACATTGTCCCCCATCATGCAATATTGATAGCACAAGATGATAACGGTGACCAATATATCTAGAGGTTGTGAGCAATCTGTTTTCTTCTTATCGCCATCGTAGGTATCAAAAAGAGAGGTTTCAGTTCAGTTTAACAATGGATAAATTATTGGTACTAAGGAGGAAAAGATGTGTCTGCTCATCCCCCCACCAAAAAAAAAAAAAAAAAAAAAAAAAAAAAAAAAAAACTACGAATGACCTTGATGGAAAGTTATCTCCCACACTAACACTGCGGATGGAGGATGAGTCATCCATGTTTAAACATTAGGAAAGAAACTACACTGTTGCTTTCTTGTTCAGTTGGTTGTGTATGTTTGTACTTCTATAGTGTGATGATTAATACACCAAACACTTTTGAGACAGCAGCTTTGATGGCTTGAGGTTAGACCTTTATCTAGCAGTTCTTGACGGCATTTATCATCGTCTCAATGGCATTTTGGGATTTTTAAAACCCTCTCAACTTTTATTTATTTATTTGGCTTATTACCTATTTGGTTGGCTCACATATTTTTTGGCGCTCACCATGATGTGGAATACCCCAACTAGACCCCATAATGACCTTATTCTCGTTGTATTTTGAGAATATCGATGTGCTAGCTCTCATACACGAACCACAGCCAGGGTAGGATACGTTATAATGAACATGAACATGAACAAGAATGTTTTATTGTTTGATAATTGGAAATTGGAGCTAGAACAACTGTTAGGTTTCGTAGAGTCCGACTCTACGCGGAAGAGAAACCCGCCCAAGACCCGCTCACTAATTAAAGCAACTAAATATTTAATCACATAATTAACAACATAAAACAGAGAAAGAGAAAAGACGTTCTTACCCTTGACGCGTGCTTCGCTTGAACCCGAGCTCTTACTTGAAAAGCTAAACCTCGCAAGCGTGACGATCTCCAACGGCTTGTACCCACGAACCCGACCCGAACGGTCTTAGTCCCGAAGGTTAGTCGGGACTTGACCAAATAAAACTTAGAGTATTACGAACTTAAGGTTTTCTCACTTTACTAACGAGATGCCTTTTTAATTCCACTCAAGTGTTCTTCCCAAAACCCAAAACTTGAGTATTTATAGGGAAATGAACCTTGATTTCCCATAATGGGAGGAGAGGGAGAAGGTGAGGACCACCAAGGGAGGGGGCCAACCCACCTTGCTCCCCAAGCCAAAACACCAACCATTGGTCCCCACCTTGAGCGGGTGTCAACGCCACTTGGCTGGCTGGCAGCTTGCCTTGGCTGCCTGCCAACTGGCGCATAGCACCAGGCTGGCAGCCCGCTAGCCAACTAGCACATCTCCGGCCAGCCCGCAACACATGCACAGCCGGCCAGTGCGCATGCATCACTGCTGCTTAGTGCGTGCTGCTAGGCGCTGCTGTGCAAGGCTGCTGCTTGCTAGCACACACGCATAGCCCAGCATGCCCGGCACGCTGCTGGCTGGTGCGTGGTGTTGTGCGATATGCGTGGCTGCGATGAGCTAGGTGCCAAGCCCTAGCACGCTAGCAAGCACGCAAGGCACCATGCCTGTGTTGCTTGCGATAGCAAGGCCCAGCAAGACTAGCATGCTGCTGTTGCGAGCTAGCGATGGGCTTGATGTGTGGCCTAGCATGCTGCGATGGCCAGTGCTGCTATGCTAGCACGCCCATCCATACATAGCCACACCACACGCATGCATGCATCTTGCGATGCTTGTGCCATGCGATGTGCGTGTGCTACGGGATGCTAGGCACGCATAGATTGGGACCTCGCCTAGCCTAGCACTCACATGGCTAGGCCAATGCGAGGCTACGGCTAGGCTCAAACTTGTTGCTTGTTTGATTTCACGTCTCGTCGAATTCTAAATTCGACTCGACTTGCGACACTCGGTCTCGACGCTCTAAGCTCGATATTCGACGTCTTTTTTCGTAATACTCCGAAAACTCATCTAATCCTTCGGATTGATTCATCATCTTAGATCGGTTGTTCGATTGGGTTCGACCCGAAGGGTTCAGTCAAGATTAAGCTGAAATATTAATTGTAATTAATATTACTGATTGAAAGCAGCCTCCACCTAGGCATTCCGATCACTTGACCTCGCTGAAGAATTAGCTTTCTAATAATTCTGAACCCTCTATCAGAATAATACACTTGTTGGAAGGACACCATTCCTTTCAACAACTAAGCTATTTTATCTCTCTTTGTTCTAGCTAACTTCCTTTTCATTCAGATGATACCTATTAAATAGAGTTTGAGGTAGGAGATGATGTGAAGTTTCTCTTACTAGCAGACCCTATGAGAAACTTGCAGCCCGTTTTTATGGGCCATTCAAGGTGCTGCAACGTGTGGGAAAGGTAGCGTATCGGTTACGATTACCCGAAGGGAGTAATATCCACTCTGTCTTTCATATTTCGCAATTAAAGAGGGAAATTGGGGCTGCATCAGCTCATCCCACATTACCAGTTGAATGCTGAATTGGAATTAAAGGTAGAACCGGAAGCATTGTTGGGGTTAAGGCATAAGTGCAAGGGTCAAACTACCATACTTGAAGTGCTGATGAAGTGGCGTGGATTACCAGATATTGAAGCAACTTGGGAGGACTTCACAGTCATGAACCAGCGTTTTCCTTCCTTTCACCTTGAGGACAAGGTGAAACTTTTTTTTTTTTTTTTTGGGGGGGGGGGGGGGAGAGAGTATTGTGATGACTCAGCAACCGTTGGCTGTGTACACCAGGAAGAGGCACCGTAACCCACACTCAGCAGCAGCAGCAGACCAAGGCAAGACAAGAGGGTCAGACCTCCAACCGAGGAGAGAACAGGACACCAATTCAGAGATCGAGGTCAAAGCTACTTAAGGAAGTCTTTGGGATCAGCACCGAGAGTCAACTCAACATTTTGGAGTAAGAAAAGAAAAGCAGAAAAGCAAATGAACTAGAAGACAAATACCATTAAGAGATTACTTGTAATCTGATTTGTATATATAAAGAATAGGGTAGGAAAGAAAAGGCATGTCTTTTGAATATTGAAAACATTAGAGTGAGATAGGCAACCTCAAGTTGCTTAGAGATTGATAACCTAAAGTTATCTTGCTTAGAGAGTGATAGCCTAAAGCTATCTTGTGAACTGCTATCTTTTGTATTGCTGCCTGGAACCCTTGGTTAATGAAATCAAGCTTGCTTTCTGCCATATCCATGTGTGTGTGTGTTTTGTGATTGATCCAGGAAGAAAGTCAGTCTATTTCATTGCGGTATTGGGATTTGATTAATTTGAAGGTAGTCAATCTGCAGTGTTGGTCCCTAGCCTTTCTCCAGATTGGTGTGTGATCTTACAACCCAAATATTCAGCTTTAGTAGTCTAAAGTGACATTTAATGATCTTATAGACAACTAGACAAGGTTAACATCCTTTGTGTCCCAGAAGAAGAGTCAAAGACATGGAAATGAAACCAGAAATCAAGACAATTTCCCCAAGAAAGAAAATTCTAAAATGACAATGAGTAGAAATGTTAGCAAAGGAAAGAGTTCTAGTAGTTAGTCTCTGATGTCGATTACAAACATAAGCGAAGAAGTACAAAGCAACCAAACTTTGTTGATGTAGAGGGTAACAAATTATATTGTGCGGATTTTTTCAACAACTTCCCATATTCCCTACTTTCCCCATTGGTATACATCTAGTAAGCTTCATCTCTTTTTTCCCTCTTTTAAACATTATCAACATTTTTTTTTTTTCCAACAAACTTTGTGTTCCATTCTCATTTATCATGTAACCTTGCAAAAGAAACAAACAGGAAAGCAAAAGAAGGACCCCCTTCCCCCTCCTCGTTAAATCCTATTGCTCAGCATTACAATACAGTAAATACGCTGATTTGGGAGTATTAAAATGCAAAAGTAGTGAGTATTGGTACGAAAGTATTAATACGAAATACGCGGGGGTTAAGGAGTATTAGGTAAACCCGAGCGACACCCTATCCTGAGGTGACCTGAAGAGGTTCCCATGGTGGCATGGTGTAGCAAGGTTTCCTGAAGAGTGATCCACATCCACTAAAGCTTAAGGTTGAGTTTTATGTTTGTTCAGTCAATACCTATCTTGCTCTAGAAGAAGCTGCAGTAAAGCAACAAAGATACTAACCTGATTTGAGGTGCAGAAAAAGCAAGAGCTTTGAAGGCAACAAGACATCACAATCTCAGGTAAAGTAGAACACCTTAAGCTTAAATAGCTAGAGCTTGTGAAGAGAAGAATCGTTTGATATACTTCCTTCTAGTACGAAAATTTTAAGTCAAAGGTTTATGATTTCTATGTGAATTAGAAATAAGGTTCATGCCTAGATAAGGTCGACATCTATAAGGTTCATGCCTTGATATTAAGTGCGAGATTTTATAGAAGGTCGCCATCTTTAAGGTTCATGCCCAAATATCAAATGTGAGATATTATATAAGGTTGACATCTTTAAGCCCAGGTTCTATATTAGTTCAACAATATATTGTTAAGTTTGACTGTTTGAGAAGTCAGTCATATCATGTGAACTGCAAGAGCAAAAGTCACTTTACCAATATCTAAACCTAAAACTATTTTAGAAATGATACCCCATTAGTTGAGATTAATATGAGTTAAACCATAGTACAAATAAGAACAACAGCAATAGTCAGGATCAGTAGTATATATATTTTCTATATCTGATAAAAATTTAGTAATTAAATCAAATACTTCCAATTTATCTAGATTTCTGATTGAACTTTTCTAGATTCTTTTAGTTATTTAAGTTACCAAATCTGAGCCTAAACACTTCAAAGGTGTGAATAAAATATAAGACAGTAACTTAGTAAGATACACCTATTTGCAAGTAAATCATACTCAGATTACTACATTGAAAAAAAGTAGCAAATCCCAGACTTAGATGATATACACAAAAGGAGCACACAATATGATCACACTGATGATAATACTTTTCATACCTGAGAGCTATTTGCAAGTTCTAGACAAAAATTGAAAGAAGGGCTTAGTGGGCTGCCTGATCCCAATCCATAGCCAACTGCATAGCTCCAGTTCTTCGGATTTTTGAAATTTGAATCATCTTTGGTTCCAGCTGATAATTTTAATACATACTACTCATCAAATACCATGCTGATTGTCTAACATGTAAAATTTAAATAAAAACAACGTAAACTGATGACTGACATTTACAAAACTTTTAGTCTAGAGAATTTGGTAGAATTTAGTAGTTTATGTTAACTTTGTAGTAAGTTTATAGTGTCCTTTTACTCGTTTCTTGCTAATGTGTGTCAAATGTTGTAAATGCTTGTATTAGCTCCTTTTTATACTTATGTTCACCACTTCTACTCAAATCTGATGCTTTCAAGGTGTTTCTAATTTGTAGGAACATTGGAGGATGAATGGCTTAGGTGTATACAAAGAAGCTAAGGAACTTAGCAAAGGAGAAGTAGCAAGACGAAAGGACAGTGAATCTGTAACAATAATTAATCAAAAGTTACTAAATTGTGACTTCTATGGTACTTACATAGTTGTTCATACTGCATTCCGGCAGTAAGTCTACCCATCTTGCTGACCAACCAAGCATTTTTAGGAAGCCCATCAGACACTGCAAGAAAGAAAGATACATAATGGAACACTGATCATGAATAATTCAAGTAATGGTTTCAGCTGATATAACTTAAGCATGGAGATTCCCAATTTATCATCATTGAACAAAATTCTTAAAAAGCATGTGGTCCAAACATGCAGACAGGATAATAAACAATACATAATTGACCCTGCTGAAGCAAACAGCAGAATGGTATATAGAAATGCGTAGTAAGCAAAAACAAAAGCGAAAAATAGATCTCTATCAACGAAGGAAAATGAGAAATCATTTCCACAGAAAATTAATGCCTCCTTTAAACTTATACAGTAATTGGCCCGGTTGGGATATCCTTCCTACATGGGATGCCAAAATAAAAATTAAAAAAATAAAAAACAGAGAGAAAAGGGGGATGATGAATGACAGTATGGGAAGGCAATTAAAATTCTTATATCAAGTTGCATTGAGACGTATGCTGGCAGCCACATTCTTGAAATTAACAGAATAGAATATTCATGAACAGCAATAGTTTAAAAGAGCCTAATTGTTCATGAATGACACTGATTCATGAATCAATACATGAAGCATGAACACAAAATCAATATATCAAGCATGAATACAAAGTGTTCATGAATTTTGTCCCATTATCTCAAAGTTTATGTTATTTAATCACATGTTTCTCCTTTCCTTTTATCTCCTTAACACTCTTTTAAAACTCTCTTAAATTTGATTTGTATACTCTTTTAAACTTTTATTCAATCGATTATCTAGTTATGCTCTTGTTTCTTTTCAAACGGTTCCTTATGATGATTTATGTTGCCGAATGCCGATCCCAAATCATTTCGGGACTAAGGCTTTGAACATGGCTAGGTGCAATTCCCCAGCTTAGGATGGAAGAGTCTAGGAGCTCTTTTTTCCATACATGGGAACCTTAGAGGGCTTTGGCATCCACAACAAGCACTGTGAGAACGTCTCTAAGAATGAAAGCAGGTCACAATTAAAAGTGAGGAACTTTTCTAGAGTTAGTAAGCGTCAAATACAAGTATAAATTACTGAGAGGGAAATATTGTTATCCATCCGATTTGTGTGAAGTCTTGTAATCCTACTATCATCTTATAATGGAAGAGTTGGACTATTAGTCTCACAGTATTATCCAGATTTTGGGTTTTCCGTGCAACCAAAAATTCTTGTGTTCCTTTGAGTACTTCATTTTATACTTGTTTTTATTTTCATTTTAACTGCACAAAGAGGGAAATTTATAATTTTTCCTAACATCTACCAAAAGGCGTAAAATTTAGGCCAAAAAAATTCTGGACATGACTCACTGAAATTCATTAAATTAGTTGGTAATATAAGTCACATACTAGGGAATGTAGTATCAGTCAGCCCACAAGACAGATATTCTGAGCCATATCTCAATCCCATAATACCATAATCTTCAGGTGATATCCTGCACAAACACCAAGTTCTTTAGAGAAACATTCAAAATTTACTTTCACACTCAGATTCTGAAATACAGTAACTTTCAGAAAATACCTTCTCTTTGATATTAATGGGATGATTCCAAAGGCTCCAAATCCATATTTAGGATAAAACGCAGATGACCGTATCCGTAAAACCCTAAAAGAAATATATATACCATTTACATATTTGATTCTAGAACACAAAAGGATGTACAAAATACTCCAGTTCCATAGAACTTGTCAACTTTTTGAAAGAGAAACATTCAGAAAAGTCATAGTTGGGATTTCTTCCCCACCTATTCGAGGTAAAGAAGAATAAACAGGTTTCAAATTAACAAAGTGAAAAATTTTTGGGCAACTAAGAAAGGAATACACATCAAGTTCTATAGGAAAAAAAATACTTACGGATCAGTGTTTGCAACAAAAAAGTCAATAAATGTATGTGGATCATCAACATCACTGCTTGGCAGAGGAAGAAGCAAAAATAATCAGTTAATTCATATTAATTAGTATATATTCCTAACATATACTTAAAACCTGGTATTTGGAATAGATATATCGTACCTTTGCCAACGAAACTGTGCATTACATACAACATTTTCCTTAGACTTGTGATCAAGAGGACCAGAAACCTACTGATAGTTAAGAAATCAACCATAAATCAACCATAATCACATCCATTGGTCAAAATCCATTTATTAATGTGGGAAGAGATATTTTACCATTAATATCAAAACAAAAGCTGAGCTTAAATGTTAATTTCAAGTGCTAACATCTCAGTTGTTGAATAAAATTGTTTGATTAACTATTTAGAAGATAGGGGAAACCTTAGCATGAGAAGATACCATTTTGCAAACAAACACAAGATTCACACGTTGGTAGTTAATTGATTATTGAGCATAACAACAGAACATAATTATAACATCATAAAAATTCACAACGTGATCACATGATTACCACGATTGTCCAGATCAAAATTAGCCAGTTTGAATTAATATGAAGAAAGACAATAGAAAATTAAAACTCTCTATATGTGGATGTAATAGCTATATATATCAATACCCACTTTATATTCTTTGAGAAGAATATAAACTAATACTAATATCAGAATAACTACCAAAATTCCAAAATGGATGTGTATAATTAGTTAAGGAAATGTTACAATTGATCCACATGGAGAGGAAGTCGATAACACAACTAATGTAAAGAAAATTTTAAAATGGATTTCTCCCTTTATAAAAAGTATCATTTCACCATTATCCATTTATGTATTCACTTTTTTAATCAATCAACCCACACCATCTTCCTTTATTATTCACTTTTAATCAACCAAATACCACTATCTTCTTTTAATATTCACCTTTAATCAGCCAAATCCCACCATCTAATTAATTTATTCACCTTCCTAAAACTTGTGCAAAAGACAAATGGTTTATTTCAGAACTAAGGGAGTAATGAAATTTCGACAAAGTAACTGCACACGTTTAGAAGGATACTGTTGCAATTAAATCAACATGAGGGTCATCCAATGGCTTTAGCAAGATTCTTGTACTAAAATTCCTTGCTTCATCAAAGTAATCTTCAAAAAGACATTTCAAAGCAAGCTTTCCAAATAACATATTATACGAGGATTCTAGCATCCTGCATCAAGATAAATGTAAAATAAATAATTAAACAAATAAGGCTTGTCAGCCAAACGTATTTTAAGACATCAAGTTGTTTAACTTGAATTCAATTAAAACCATTCAAAAAAGATTCCCCTCTATATAGACACCTATGGTGCATGGAAACGCTCATGAAGGTTACACTTCCTAGTTGCAATTGGTAAGTATGATAACCAGAAAACTTGTAGAAAATTGGAGGATTTTATTTATTAATTTTTTTGAATCCATTAGGGCCCAACATGTAGGTACGTCTTTTAGAGTAACCTCTCTTTATATCAGCCTAACTTAGTTTGATGCAATCTTTTGGTCACTCTTCTATACTTGGTGTGTTTTCCAAAGTCACCTCAAGGAAAGTGAGTTGTAACAATTAAGCAACAAGAATTATTTTCATCACTTTGATGGTTGTACTAGACAGGTCACCGACTACTGTGAGGGTGGCTTGATGGTAACCTAATATTGCTACTAGCTACTCTCTTTGTGGAGCTGGAAATGACAGCACTCACCACCTCTTCTTTTTACCTGCTCCTATGCTGGTGCTGTTTGCAATTAGTCTTTGGACTATGATCCAGCAATCAATTGGGTTTAAATACTGTCAGATGTTCTTTTAAAGCAGGAATCCAAAAGGACTATATAATCACCGCAATAAAAGAGTTATGTTGGTAGCTTTTCATGGACTGTGTACTACACCTAGCTGCAGAAAATTTCTAAGATTTTAGGAATACTTGTAAACCTGTAGAGGCTGTTGCTAAACATATATTTCTTGAACCCTGGGAAAGGTAAATTCAATAAACCCATATCTTTTCCTTGTTGCTTGTGGGTGTTCCTGAACTCTTGGACATCTTGGTAACTCCTTTAGTATTTGTTCAACCTGTTCACTCCTCAAGTTTCAATAAATCTGTCACTCCTAACCCTTACCAGAAGGTGTAGCGAAGTTGAATGCCAATGTTCCTATGTAAGACTAGCTATTTGTGCTACTGATGTCTTGGTGGTCTGTTCTAAGCTTTTTTTCCATTTGAAAGGATGTATGTTAAGCTACATTATCATAAAAAAAAACTATAAATTTTTTTTTAAGAAAATTAAAAATATTAACACCATCTTCATTTACAACTTCTAAAAAACAATAGACGAAGTTTTCTAAAATTCATAATAAATATATTAGCTTGTTGTTTAGCTTTTGCGATTCACTCTTCCTAATTGAATGAAATTTTTTTTACATGATTCCCTTGTATTTTTATGCTAGACATTGGTATATATTACATAGAAAACTACTGATGTCATACAAATTTATGGAAGTTCATGAATGTATTTCCTAATCCTAGCTAAGTAGCTTCCTATCAACTGAGTTGTAGTCTATACGTAGTAAACAAGTCTCATTCTTCTGTATACAACTAAGGGTCACAATTCGTGAACTTATATTTCAATGTATGCAAACAAAAAGGACATAGAGCACTTATCATGGAAAATGAAATGACCTTAGGGGGTGAACTGTCTAAATTATCTAGCAATTCTAAGGTACCTTCTTACACTTGTGGAGCATACTTTCTTTAAGAAGTCTAGCAAGTTATCGTGAAATTGGTTTGTTGATATAGATTTATGTTGGATCATAACAATCTTCAATTTTCAAATATAATCAAATTGTTAAATTATTTCCTTGAAAATGATATAGTATGTGCAAGAAGCATCTCACAAGACGATCGTAGTTTTGCTGATGCCTAACTTTATTTTATTTAGTATGTTATCTAATTCTTAGATTCAAAAGTCTTGTAGAAATATTGATTCAAACTTTTTATATTTTTCTTGTTTTGTTGTTTTTCTACGAATGAGCCACAAGGGCAAAATTTGGTAAATATGCTACCAACTTCGAGATAGAAAAAAGTTAAGGTCAAAATGAATCAAAGGAGAGAGAAGAGGAACCCATTTTAGTCACCGAAATGTTAGTAGTTGCCTTTATGGCCGGTTTGGTAGCCGATCATAAACAATGGTAATGAGAAAGAATATGTATGTAAATTCGGAAAGAAAAGTGATGGTCATTCAAGATGATCCTAAACTGCCTATTTATATATATAAATTTTCACTCCCACCTAATACCACCTTTCAAGTTGTAATGGATAGTAATGGAAATACATGAAGAAAACACGTGCTTGGGGGATGAAATTGTGTTTATTATAGGTTTTTTTTTCATACTAAGTTACACTTAAAATTCATTCCCATTGCCGCAATTTATTACATACTACGAGCTGTTGTATTTATTTATTGATATAGAGTTGTATCAATGACTGCAATTGGCCCGAAATTGTCGTCACCGATTGTAATTTTGCCGAACAAGCCTGATACCCTCTTATCGGCCAATCCGATTGGTGGAGGCAGCGAGACAAAACAGCAGGGATCGCCATACAAGTGCACTATTTTGCAAATTACTTTCTACTTTTCCATGCAACATACTCAATTAACATCAAACAGAAACAAAGACATCTAAATTGACTGGAAGAACACAGATAACAACACACACATTCAAAAATACAGGCACACAAATAAATGATTAAGTTAGAGAAGAACATAACAATTAATCCAAATGTATAAAAGCTCAATAAGTAACTGATGGAACACAGAGTAAAATGAAATTGCAGAGAATATCAAAGAATACAAAAAAAAAATGAAGGTAAATCAAAGAATGAGACATTAAAAAGAAAAACTAAGTGTAAACAATGGGAAGAAGAGAAGGACCTGGTTCGTGCGCCAAGCGGAGGAAAATCGAAAAGCGGTGGGACTAACACCATCGGCGGAGGCGGTTCTTTGCTTGGCCACACTCCCATTTTGGTATGAGAATGAATGAGGAGAGATTCAGGAAGTGAGAAAATGGAGTATGTAATACACAGAGGTGGTGTCCGTATGTGGTGCCAACAAATGCTGCAAAATAATGAGCGCGCACTTTTACTTCGCCAGGCTTCTCTCCCAACCTTGGCAGGACGACTAGACGAGTATGACTAGTGGCACTGCCAAATCGGTTCGACAATTCGGGATGAAACGAGTATGTCATTGTACGTAACTTGAGTAAACGAGTTGGTTGACCACCTTAGAAACTACAAATCGCCTTCTACAAGGTCCTCTCCTAAACCAAACAACAATGGTTCAATCAATACCCCAACAATATAATTTATAGCAATACTAACTTATTTTAAAACCCCTTAAACCATTGAAATAATGCTTTTAAATTACTCACAATAGTCAAAGTTTATAATTCAATAGTTCAACTATAAGTCTATATGTTAAAATCATGAAAATATAGCTTATAACATAAAATTCCAACAACCTTAAAGTAAGGATTATAATCTGAAAATTTAGTTTAAGAATATAAAACAACCTCATAAACATCTCTACTTGATATACTCATTATATAGTAGGTTAGTATGTTAAAAACCTAAAAATCTATCATAAAACCATGATTTAAAACCTTTAAAACCAAGATTAAAAATCTGAAAATTTAATTTAATAGTAGAATGTATGAATACAACAATCTAAACTTAAAATATATAATTGCAATTCTAACTAGTTTCATAAAAACTCAATCGAACCTTCAAAATTCAATTAAACAACACTTTAAAACCTTCTTTTTTGCTAGAATTAAAAGATTATATATTATTCTAAAAATTTCCTACATAAATACATTAAAATACATACTTATTCATAAAATTACAGCAAGTTTCAAGCTTTATAAAAGTCTGAAAATTTATTTTAAACATTAAACCTTCGTTAAAAATCTAAAACTGCCCGAAAACCATATTTAGAGGCTGAATTTGGCCACGAAAGGGTACTACTTACTACCAAAAGTATTGAGTTTTGATTAAAACCTCATTTACACACGAAAAACACTATTATTTTGTAAAAATTGGACGAGTTAGAATCTAAACGTGATTAAAAATAAATTAAGAACGGAGTTCATAAGTTGATTACGCAAAACTGAAAATTTGTTTTTATGCTTAATTAATCATTAGAAATTCAATAAGAACAAAAGCCCCAAATTAATTGATCATTAGAACCCTAAAATCTCAATTTAACTAAATTAAAACCTAGGTATAAAATTACAATATCAAAAAATTAAAACAACAATTATAATCTGAAATTATTAGTTTAAAACATCAAAAACATGATTTTGATACTAAATAAACTATTTTCAAGCAATAAAAATTAAAACCCAAAAATCAATTACATAAGCTTTATGAAAATAATAAAAAAATAAAGGAGGAAGAAAATAAGACTAACCTTTTTGTGTGAGGGAATAATTTGGGGATTCATGGGGTATTTATTGGAGAGAATTGTAGGGTAGAATTGGGCCTCATGAAAATAATGGGCCAATTAAATAAACAAATGGGTTAGGCTTTGTTTTTATAATAATGGATTGTAGGATATAGGTTCATAAAATAATTTAGCCTAGAATAATTTTTGACCCAAATTAATAATTTGAAAATTAAATTCTGGAAAAATACAAATAAATATTATAAATAAAATTTCATTTATAAAATATTTAAAAATACGAGGGATTACACTTTTACTTGTTGATTTGTTAATTAGCATGTTGATTGCCATGATTATGGAGTATTTCTTTTTAAGGTTTTGTGGATTGTTTAATTAATGCTTGAGCATGTTTTAGCTATATGATTTGGTTTGATCATGATTAAAGCCTTTGTATGTTTGATATTCTTCAATTTGCTTGTAAAATGTATGTTGTTTGTGAATTGAAGGTGAATTGATGCTTGATGATGAAAGGAATGGTGTCCTTCGAACAAGTGTATTATTCAGATAAAGGGTTCGAAATTATTAGAAAGCTAATTATTCAGTGAGGTCAAGTGATCGGAATGCCTAGCTGGAGGCCGCTTCCGATCAGTAATATTAATAAATTATTAATATTACAACTTAATCTTGACTGAACCCTTCGGGTCACACCCAATCGAGTAACCGAATTGAAACGACGAATTAATCTGAAGGATTGAATGAGTCATTAGAGTATTACCAACTAAGACGTCGAATATCGAGCTTAGAGCGTTGAAACCGAGCGTCGTAAGTCAAGTCCAATTTAGAATTTGACAAGACGAGAAATCAAGCAAACGACAAGTTTAAGCTAAGCCGTAGCTTCGCATTGGCCTAGCCATGCGAAGGCTAGGCTAGAATAAGGGCACCAACCGCATCGCATGGATGTGCCCAAGCCAAGCATGTATGTATGTGCTAGGCTTGCTAGCCGAGCATGCTTGCGAGGCTGGTGCACCTGGTCGCACGCATGCTAGTAGGTGGCGCACCATGCGTGCTAGCGTGCTAGTGTGCTTGGCCTCACACTCAGCCGCAAGCATAACAGCAGCTAGGCTACGCCTAGCACGAGCATCGCATTAGCAGCAGCAGCGTGCTATGCGTGCGTGTGTTGTGGGCTGTGTGTGCTTGCATGCTGAGCAACGCCTAACACAAACAGCAGCTAGCTAGCGAAGGCTAGCGATTTCAGCACACCATGTACGTGTGCCGCACAGCAAGACTGGCAGCCAGCCATGCCTTGCGCCCATGCCAGCCACAGCTTGTGCGTGTGGCTGCTCTTGTGTGGGGTTGGTTGTGCGTGTGTGGAGGCATGTGTGTGTTGGGTTTGCTTGGGGAGCAAGGGGAGGAAAGGGAAGATGGTTCTCCCTTGTGGTCCTCACCTAACCCCTTGCTCACCATTTGACACTTGTCGTTTGTTGATTCACTTGCATTTCAATTTGATTTTTAAATTAAGATAAATTGAATAAAGTGCATTTTACCAACTCTCCCACATGGATGGGAGATTGGAATTCAAGAGCTCCTTTCCCTATAAATATCAATAGTTTGGCATTGGAAAGGGACACTTGAGTTGTGAACTTTAAGGGATCTCCAAGAAAAGAATACCTTAGTTCTGATACTCTAAGTTCTATTGGTCTAGCCGCAACTGAGCTTCGGGGTAGGGGCCGTTCAATTCGGGTCTCGAGGGTGAGAGCCGTCGGAGGCTTGCGCATTTGCGGAGAGCCGTCGGAAGCATGCATTAAGGGTAAGATCGTCTTTTTCTCTTTCTCTCTCCTTGTTAATTAATTAATATGCATGTTTAGTTACTTTAATTTGTGTGCGGATTTTGGGAGAGTTTCATTCCGCGTAGTATCAGACACTACGAAACCCAACAGCGGTATCGGAGCCGCGCTCATTTAATTATTGTAACTAATAATTAATTAAGGAAATTTAAATAGATTTAGATTTCTGGTTTTGCTTTCTAATTAGATTAGAAGCTCGTTTTAATTGGTTTTAATCTCGTATTTATACTAATTTTGGCTAAAGAACCCAGATTTCGACCCTAAAGTATTGAATTTTGGGTGGAATCAATGTTCTAAATCATTTTTTACCTTCTTTGAGAACTATCTAGAAGCCAAAATCCACCCAGAAACATGTTTTTCGAAGGATTTTTCGTTTTTGACGAAAAATTTTAAATCTATAAACCTTGATGAATTATGGCATGTTAATGTTAGATTATGTGTATGGTTACACCATTAATCTATTGCAATAATAACCCTTATTAATCATGTTATGAATTCATATTTAGTGCTTAATTTGGTGAGTTCATATTTCACATAAACTTAAAATTTCACAATTTTGCAAATTAATTGCTTCAAGTGTGAATGTTTATGGTGAATTTGTAATTTTGAAATCCTTAAAATGTTAAAGATCCAATATTTAATTGTTTATTTGGTTGGAACTTTACTTTCTAGATTCCATGTTGAGCTAATTTTTGGATTTAATCTTTTTTTAGTTGATTAAAGTCTTAAAAGTTCAAAACTTGTGATTGAAATTTAATTAATCTTCATATTGGGAGATGTAATTTTTCAAGTTTACACAAGTTAGTGTTGGAAATTTTTCATTGGATGATTGTGTTTATTTTTTCCAACCCCTTTAATTTTGTCAAATCTCATTATTAATTTATGTTTGTTTAAATTAATTGTAAAAATAGCCCTCAATTTTGTAGCATCAAGTTGAGCCAAAAATAATTTAAAGAATGGTTCTTGAATTAATTTTGGTTTGTGCACTAAAAATTGAATTTATTTAAGTTGGACTTATTTTATTTTCATTTTTGATCAATATTTGTTCTAAAATTAATTTAGAATTAAATGTTTGTCACAAAAAAAAACTGGGATAAAATCTCGAGGTAAGAGCACAAAAATCGAGGCACGAATGCCCTAAGCATTCCCTCGGCTAGCTGGGCTGCTCGCGCAACTCGCATGTGGCTGCCGAGGAGTGCCGGCTGGTGCTTCGATGGTGCGCTGCTACTGTGGTGTGTGCGAGCTTAATTAGTGCACGCTTGGTGCAAGCTCGGTGCGGTGCAATGGGTGCTGCGGTGTGCGGTAGTGGCCAGCACAACCCTGTACAGCGTAGGGCCTTTGAGGCCGAGACTTGCCTGCGTGCAAGCATAACGCGCGAGCGATGCTATCAGCCACTCCCACGTGCTTGGAGCAGCAAGGGGTGTGCGAGGGCAGCAGCCACGGATGGTAGCCACGCCTTGATGCCTAGCACATCGAGCCTCGGGGGTTGGTGTTCGGCACTTGGGCATCGTTGGGCTATGTGTTTTGCGATTTTTCCGTTCTAATTATTTTATTTTAAACAGGCTAAGCCTTGGTTTTTTCCGGCACTTGCAAAATAATTTGATAAAATTTGGTAAACCGGCTTAATTAAATTAATTGGATTAATTTTAATTAAGTTGGATGCGGAATTTAGTGGGAGCTTCGTTAATTACTTGAGCTAATTTTATTGCGTTTTAATCACATAATAGATTAACAACTTTGACTAGTTTTAATTAGGCGCGTTAATTGGATTAACCACCTAAGTTAGTTACTAGTTTGAGCGTGTTATGTTGTTACTTGTTTTACGTTGTAAAATGCATGGGCCATTCATATAGTGATGGATGAATGGAATAAATATTCTATCATAGGTTTTGTGAAAATGGCAACTAGTGGAGCCCGATTAGGATAGTAA